GTGGGGAGGGAGGGTGTCCTTCATGAGTCAGAGAGGCTGGATACTGTGCCCTGGTTCCCCAAGAACACAGAGCTGACTAGTATCAGTTCTCTCTCTGTTGTCTGAAGGATTCCAACGTATCAGGGAGCAAGGAGTTAAGTGGTTTAAGCATAAATGGAAGTTTTGTCTGAACTTGCAAGGAACTGTTTCAACTCCAACCATATATACACCCATAAGAGTAAAGGAGTACTTGTGGCACCTTAGAGACTAACCAATTTATTTGAGCATAAGCTTTCAAGTGAGCTGTAGCTCACGAAAGCTTATGCTCAAATAAATTGGTTAGTCTCTAAGGTGCCAAAAGTACTCCTTTTCTTTTTGCGAATACAGACTAACACGGCTGTTACTCTGAAACCCTTAAGAGACTTCAGGATGACAGCAATAGACTAGTACATTTTAAGAGAATTATTGGGGAGATTCTTCAATTATGCTTAGTCGGAAAATATTAAGTTGTTTTTCTCTTCTTTTAAGTTCTTGGAATTCCTTTGGGTTTGGGAAACACTGTTGCTAAGAAAACAACAGCAATTTGGCATGTGGTATTATATTTTGGAAGAGAGAGTCATTAGCACATATGCAGTTGGAGGAGGTTCAGGGCTACTGAACCACATCCTTAAACATTTTAATTTTCAAGATGAATTAACATTAGAAGCTGTTGGGCGGAGACTAATTGGTTTGATATATATATTTTAGGAACCCTTCTCTCTTTTTTGGTTATGCCCTGTGAGGGAGTGTACTACCCCTTTAAGTGACAGGCTGGAGCCAACATTTGGAACAGCCTAGGGTGTAATCAAGGAAGCCCTGCCCTATGGCAGGGCTATATAAAAAGGAAGAGGAAGTGAAGAATGTGTGCATGCTGCAGTGGATGATGGTTTCTCTCAGGCTCCAGAGGATCAGCCCTATGACACTCAAGGCTTGTCTACATTTACAGTGCTGTAGCTGCACCAGTGCAGCTATAGCATGTAATGAAGATGCTACCTATGTCAATGGGAGAGCTTCTCCCATCGGCGTAGGTACTCCACCTCCCCAAGGGGTGGTGGCTATGCCAAAGGGAGAAGACCTCCTGTCAACATAGCACTATCAACACTGGGGATTAGGTCAGTAGAGCTAAGTTGCTCAGGGGTGTGGAATGACAGTTATACCAACATAAGCTGGTAGTGTAGACCAGGGCTCAGAGACTTGGTGTTATGGACTTTAAGGTGGGAGCTCTCAACCAGGGTCTGGAGGTGAGGACTTATTTGTTGTAATTGCTGCTGCCCACAAGACTTATTTAAAAAGGGACATGCCATTTTGTTTTTTTGTGTTGGCTTCTCCTTGCCTTGGGCTTTTAAAATGGAAACCTATTGCCACCCAAACAGGGGAAATTAAGATGGGGCACATCTACAGCACCACAGTGGGGTGCAAACGGACTGCCCATAAATTTACATGCCCTACATTTTATGTGGAACAATTCTTAAAATAAGAGAAATATGGAACCTTTAAGCTGGGAGAGGATTTGGTGGAGGAAATCTTGAAGGTAAATTTGAGACTGACCACACCCTAATTCTACCTTTTCTTTCATTAAGTTTTAGTACAAAAGCCTATAAACAACCAATATAAGTTGAAAAGATAGAACTGCGGAAACCTTTAAACCTGTGCTTATATAAAAGGTCTGCTTTTCCATTCAAAAATATTCATAATTAAGTGGAAGGAACACAGACTAACATTTCAAAACAAACAGAAATGTATTGCAAGATTCTTGTTCAAAGGTTAGGTGTTGTCTGTCTGAAGATTCTTTTTAAGGTTTGACAAAACAATACCTATTCTGATGGAAGGGAAATTACAGTTCAGCATAAATCATTCTCACTGAAAAAACCCATACTTGAGTTTCAAGTTTATAAATATATTGCATATTTTTATAATACCTGATTTGTCTTTTGGAAATAAGTTTATAACTTTTTATACATTAATGTTGACTTGCTGATTTCCAAAGGCTGCAAACTGTGTGTGCAACAAATGATTTTCCTGGCGTTTGCAGGTTTATAGCTAAGAGCCACCACTGTAGTTCAAAATTCAAGAACTAGGAGATAGAGCTACTTACTCAGAAGGTGGATGGAAATGCCAATAACCTAGTGATCATCTTAGAGGTGATTATAAATGCCCTTTTGTTATGGAAATTCAAATGGCATACAAGGAAAAGCCCAAGAAATTAGTTTAGAAATCCCCTGGGCTGTTAGGTCATTATAATATGCAACCAATGTTAGAATAATTACATAGATTAAACGTAAGTGTGCAGGAAGCATTTCCCTAAACAGAGGTATTAAAAGTATATCCTTATTCTATTTTGTTCCTACATTAATAAAAAGAATTAGTGGGCTCCCCCTAATGACATAGGCATCCTGAAAGTTACTATTACAAAGAAGTGACAAACATTCAGGAAAATACTTCATAATATACTTTGCTCCTGACAACTAAGCACATTTTTCTGAGGAAGTATCTTATTGTAATAGGTAGAGTCTACTATGACATTTTTATGGGATACAACACTGTTAATTTTTTTAGGAGAGGATAGTTAGTCTGCAAGCCCAATAGCAATTCAGTAGGGTTCTACTGTGTATTCAGTATTACATATAAAAACTCCCTTAAATGATGGTTAAGGTGGAAAGTCAAGCCTTCAAATTAGGAAGTGCCAGAATTAAGGTTGCCTATGCAATCTTAATGTGGCCTACTTTAGTGTGTGAAATATGATGGAGTCTTTAATTACATTATCTCATACTATTATTTCCACCATGCCATTTAGTGTACAGGATGTGTCCCGAGAATGAATTGTGGTTGTGTTGCTAATGATGCTCTTAGCTGTTGAATCCCTGCTTCATTTGTTGCAGAAGTTGGAAGGTGTGTAGTGAATGAGGCAGGGGAATGCAGGGAGAGGCAGGCTGTTTTCATGGTTTAGGCAGGATGGAATGCCACCTTGGAGAACTGGAGTCTCTCACAGCCTCTACTATAGAGTTCCTGGGTGATGCTGGGCAAGACACTTAAACCAAACTTTTTACAGGCGGTCACTGTGTTCCTCATTTTCCAGGTGGCCAATAGGATACCCAGGGGTCTGACTGAAGAAGTGCTAAACACTCACGGCTGCAACTGAGGTCAATGGGAGCTGTGCTCTGAATATATAAAGTTCTATAAAATACTAAGTTTTCTGAAAAGAGTCAGCCCCTCTGCATCTTAAATTTTACACCCAAAGTCCCAAGCAAGCACCCTAACCACGGGACAATTCTTCCTAGTATTCCGGTATTTCCTAGTCGTTGAGTGCTTCATTTTTAAACCTTAATGTTCTTTCCATAGAGGTTATGTTTGTAATTTCCTAATTTAAAAAAAAAAAATGGGGAAAAAAATTCCAACATATGGCTCACAGTGAGACCAAAGCAGTCATCAGCAGAGCAGGAACCTTTAGACCCACTTCACAAATATCTGCTGCTTGAGCTAACAGTAATTCACAGCAGTGGTAGGTTGTCACCCTGTATATGCACTCTCTATTAGAGGGAGATGAGGCACAGGTTGCACTGCTATTTGCTGACAGCACAGGAATTTGGGATTTAATCCATGCTTTGAAGGGAGCGTGCAATAATGGTTAAACCCCAGGGAGTACTTCTCCTCCCCCGCACCAGACCCTTCTTCCCTTGCCCTTCCAGTCTGTCCTTGTTCCAGTATTTCCCCCCAATACATGCAGCTCCCTCGCTACATGCAGCTCATCTGAGACCACCTGCCCTACCCCTTCCCTATGCCTAGCTTCTCACCCCTCCGTCTTACAATCAGACCACTGCCACCACCTCATTGCATGGACTCTGGTAGCATAGGAAAGAAAATACCACTGCCTTCAGTTTCTGCTCCCAACATTTGGTTGCTGGAAGGAGGAACTCTCAGGAAAATCCTTCTCCAGCCCAGGGCTGCTGGATTGAGAATGCTCAATATTTTTTCCCCTAACCTTGTTCTGCGAACAGCTGAACCCTTTTTGCTGAAACTTAAAAAAAATTTCAGCAGGAGGCAGACACCCACCACAGAAATTTCAGCTGAAACAGATCTATCTAGCAGTGTTATAAGCAGCTAAAATAGGGTTGCATCATTAATGGCAAGTCAGGCAACTTTAACTGTACATATTGCTACCTGTGCCATCTATACTACAAAGAAGGATTAAGCATAAATCCTGAATGAGTTTACCAAGATATCTGCTCCCTCAACCATATTCAGGCTGCATCAAATGAGGTAGGGGTGTGGTTTCCCTGCTCACTTACACATTCTCATGCTAGTGCAAGTATAAACAGCAGTGTAGTTGCAGTCACACAGGGTAGCAGCAAAGGCACAGCTTAGCTGGGATAGCAAGATTGAGTAGGTGTTCACATGCTTGCGGGGGGGGGGAGGAGAGAAAAATCACACCCCTGGCTTGTTGCAGTCTCAAATAAATTCTTCACACATCTTTAAAGATGGACTCTTACTCCCAAATTTCAGAGTCTGACCTTGTTGGGGGAGGGGGGGGGGGACGACAACGACATGACACTACCCCACTTGGCAGACAGCTAGCTGGTACTACTTACCTGTGTCTTACTGCTTTGACTCAGTTGGGTATCCAAATCTTCTTTACAGGACCATGGTCTCACCCTAAATGATTCTTCCTTAACCCACTACTGACTACACCTACTTAGCTTTCAGAATGGCAAAAAAAAACTATTAAAAAACTATTTGCACATATTGACCACACAGATGAGCAAAGGTTGTCAAATTATGTAAAATACTCTTTGTAAGAGACAAATCAAACAGCTTTAAAATAAGACCTCTGCTGCAGTGATGCAGAAAACCCAGAAGTTAATTTTTTTTGAATGCATGAATCTAAGTACCATGCAATATATGGCGCTTGAAAATGCCAAACAGTACTGGAACAGTAAACGCATGCCAAGGTGGATCCAGTTCCTAAAGTAAATTGTAACTTCCACTGAGCATTAATTCTCTTTACTTACTGAAAGATAAAGTATTCTTAGGGACAACTGAAGTCATGTTCATCTCCAACATCTGTTGACATTTTAGGTCATAAAATATCTACAATTTAAAAACTTGAGTGTTAAAAGGAAAGTTTGCAAACTGTTGCACAACATCTTTATCTTTTGTAAATCAGTAGTAACAAGCCACTTGCCAGAAATAGGAAACAAGTAAACGAAGAGCCCAATATTTAACAGCAAAAGCACAGCTCTCTGTGCAAATTAAACCTATCCCTAGGTAAACTATCAACCTCACAGCTGAATCACAAAGATGCATCAAACTGAACTACTCCATATTTCCCACATATCATCCAGTCAGGTTCAGAATTCACAAACTGCTCACCCTGTCCAGGTTTCAGACCAACCTGAACATCAGATTTTAGTGTTCTCAAGCTGCAAAGAGGTGCAGGATGAAATTTGTTTAAGGCTTGATGAAATGGAACAGTAAACTCCCATTTTCTATCTCCAGTTAGTTTCCTGTAGTTCAGATCACCTTTAAAAATAATTAAATGTGACTTCTGCAGCTCAGTGTACAAGTCAGTAGCAACCTGAGCCATACTACAAAATTCATGTGGCAGAGTCCAAAACATGTGATCATGGTAAACCAAAACTCCTTTTTTAATATTGCCCTCCCAGTTTATCCCACACCTAGACATCCACCTATTATTAGCTGACTGCAGCTGTTTAATAGTCCAATTAAAATCTTGCTTTGTAGTATCTGATACATACCATGGAATACACTTTCCATGGAAATGGATTTCAGAAACTAACTTTGATGATAACAGAAAATCAGCCAGTACTAGATCAGTAATAAGTTCATATCCAGCATTATCCAGGACTATGTCAACTCTAGTAACTTCTTTTGAAGTTCTTCTTTTCTTGCTGTTAATAAGCAGTGACCAAATGCTTTCCATATCATCCACTAAGATGGAAGTTTTCAAGTTGTCCAGTGATTTTACAGGACTGGCTTTCTGAGAGTTGTCTTCACCAGCTGAAATGGAGAGGTCGCACTTATTCCCCCACAATGAAACCTGAAGAGAAAAAAAGTCCATTTTGCTAAAATCTCATTATTCTATAGTCTTTTGTATTGTTCTAGAGACAGTGGGACCTGACTCCACATACATACTCCCTATTAAAGCTCAACATTTGGTACATAAAGAGTTCAGAATGATTTCTGGGAGAGAAACCAAAACAATACTCTTCACTTCCAAAGAGACACAAAAAATGAGTTGGAAGGAGGAAATACAAGCCTCTTTCCCATCTTTATCCTGGACTCGTGACAGATTAGGTTTGGTATAAACACACTGACAGACCTAAAGAAATTTATATTATATACACAACTCCAAAAAGCCTTGGCAGGAGTACACATAGGACTAATAATGGGAGGATAAGTGAGTTTTGATTACCTGGAGTTTGATAAGTTGGTCTATATTGCAAGACTATGAAAATGTGCTCTTTTATGAAGTCTCAACAAACAGCTAGGTATGCAGTGTTGCCAACTTATGATTTTATTAAGCCTCATGGTAACTGGTGTTTTCCTAAAGCTTCAGCTCCTAGGGCAAGGAGATTGTGAGAACTTCAACTTTCAGTTAAATAAATAAGTTTCTATCCCTAATGGTTACAGAGAAAAGCTTGAAGTTGTAAACGATAACACCAAAACAATTCTTTTAAATCATGATTTAAAGCAAATCTCATGACTTTTGAATGCTCAGGGATGGCAACACTGGATTTACATGAAAAAGAATAAGCAGGGCTTGGAACATGTAATAGACCACCAGCAGCATGGAACTGACATGATTCTTGTCAATTACATGGCTACTCATTGGTCTTATTCAAAAACCCTAATATCTAACCACAGTCTTGTTAGTTTCACTCTGCTGCTCAGATCTTTAACTAGCAGCAGAGGCACAAGAAATGTTTGCAGACTCAGCAATAAACTGCATCAGTCAACATATGATAGGATACACCTCTACCCTGACAGAACACTGTCCTCAGGAGCCAAAAAAAAATCTGTATGTATATATCTTACTGCGTTATATCGAACTTGCTTTGGCCTCGAGCATTTCCATTATTAATAGTCACTTCCCGTCCCGACTGACCCCTCAGAACCCCGACCCATCCAACCCGCCCTGCTCCTTGTCCTGACTACTCCCTCCAGAAATGCCCCACCCCTAACCACACTTCCCAAGACCCCACCCCATCTAAGCCCCCCTGCTCCTTGTCCCGACTGCCCCCTCCAGAGACCCCCCAGCCCCTAACCACCCTTCCCAAGACCCCACCCAACCCCCCTGCTCCCTGTCCCCTGACTGCCCCGAGCCCTATCCACACTCCTGCACGCTTACAGGCCCTCCGGGACTCCCACGCCCTATTCAACACCCCCATTCCCCATGCCCTGACTGCCCCCAGAACCTCTGAACCACCAACCCCCCCGCTCCCTGTCCCCTGACCACCACCCGAGACCCTCCGGCCCTTATCCAACCCCTTGGCCCCGGCCCGGCACCCTTAACACACCGCTCAGAGCAGTGCATCAGAGACAGACAAGCTGATCCACCAGAGTGCAGCTTTACCATGTTATATCCGAACTAGTGTTATATCGGGTAGCTTTATATCGGGGTAGAGGTGTAATTGCAAACACAAGGCCACAGAATTTTTTTTAAGTTTAAAGTTTAAGTTTTGCAGAACTCAAATTTTGTAACTTGCCACAGGCAGGAACTGTGAATAAGAAATGCCAAGTTTACCTGCAGCAGCTTAAAAAATTCTTCCTGAAGTTGTTTTTCATCTAGGTCCTCAATGTTTTTAAGAAGTTCCTGCAAGTAAGTGCATAAGGCAATAATAGCTTGTTGGGATTCAAAGAAGCTCTGAACCTTTGCTTCTTTAAATACATCATAGTCATCAATAGGAGGACTAAAATAGAAGGGAAAAGATATAATTATTAATATGATTTCCATTTTCTCTCACAGCAGCAGCAGCAAAAGTGTTAAACACAACTTTATTTAGATGAATGTTAAACTCGGGGTCCTAATCTGAACTTTCACAGTAATGTGGCATGCCAGACTCCTATATGGCTCCAGTAATACTTACTTTGCCTGGTATTTTGTCTCATTTATTTTAATAACCATATATATTATGGTTGTGGCCAAATGTCTCAATCACGATGGGCCCCTTCTCCTCCCATTATATGGGGCACTGTATATGCACTTTGGCTGCCCTTGAGGGTTTTCAATCTATGAGAGACAAATTGATGAAGGGTGACAAGCCAACTGAGGTTAAATAATTGATCCAGTTTTTTTTCCAGTACATTTGTATTTATGGTTGTGTGGCAACTTTTCATATGGACATACCTAAACCCTTTTTTGAAAGGAAGGGATTCGTCTTGTGGAAATTTTCATCTGGGCCATTCTAAAAATTAGCATGATAATTCTTCTGTTAAACTTTAAAAAAAAAAAACTTTACATTTATAATGTACTGGAAAAGATAAATACAATTTTTTTAACAAATGACTCAATACACCACACAAATAAGTTTTAGTCAAAGATCCTCTAGTATTTTGAATTGCTGAACAAAAAAGCCCTTCATGTTGTTGACTCTCTTTAAGATTACAAAAGAATTCTTCACTTTTGGTGTAGAGGGAGATTTAGAGAACACAATTCCAAAATAACAGGAAATACAATGAATGGATTCCCAAAAGTGCAACTGACACAGAAACTGACATTTTCTGGTTTGGAAAAATGTTATTTTCCACCACCCCAATTTGGAAACTAAAAACAATTTACTCATTTAGTTTACAAAGATCTTTGTGCGACACAGAACTAATGAAAATTTTAGAAGCCTTCTTTCACACTATGATCTTTTCATTATTTGTTTCGTGTGTGGGGTGAAGCTTTTTTGGAGAACTGAATTCTTAACATTGTGGCTTACATAAATCACTCAATATTTATCTACACAAAAACGTACAATTTTTGGAAGTGTTTAAGTATCAATTAGGCTCTTTTGAAAATTTTACCCAAAAATATCAGCAGTAAGAAGTGTATTAGTATGTATAATTACAACTAACCCTACTGTCACCACATTTTCATCTTGTAGTGCCTGCTACTACTCCTGTTGAAATTAATGGGAGTTTTGCCATTAACTTCAAATGAGAGCTGGGATTGGCCCTTTGTTTTCAAATGAAAAACACCAGCCAGTTTAACCTTTTTTAGAGGGGGCACACAGAAAACGTTAGCTCAACCTTGCATATTACTTAATTAAGGGAAGGATATCAGAGTTTGAATTATGCTATGTTGCAAAGGAAGCAAAGCCTCATTAGTACCTTAACCAGGGAAATTGTTGCTAAGACTTCTAGCAGTGGAGTTAGTAGAAAATCGAAAAAGACTACTGCTCTACATTTGTAAGAAAGGTCTGCATTTTAAACCAATTGCTTCATTTTAAGCTTACTCCCTTTCTTCCCCCTCTCAGATGCACAAAATCAGAAGAACTATACACAGGGTAACATTTCATGTTAGAGTATATACTTACTTATGAACTAGTGCTTCATGAATGCGGCGATACATGTAACACTCCACATATAACCAAGGGGACTGAAACCAGCTTGGCTGTTCATTTCCATCTAATAAATTTTGTTGATATTCTAGGTATTGATTCCACAGTGGAACATCAGGGAGTTTATCATCCAAGGGAACCAATGGTTTGTCTGTTTGCAGTTCATTCCTTAACTTAGAGAGGATGGATATAGTATTCTTCTCTGCCTCAATGCCTTTCTGAAATAAAATGGAAATAAGTGTCCCTAGTCCAAAAATACATTCCTGGATAGCCACATACTCTATGGTAGATATTTCCTTTTGCAGTAAAATTTAAGTTTTGAATCTTAAAAATCGAACAAAAATATCAGACTCTCAGGATCTTGCACTTGAACAAAGACAAAAGTCTAAATGACGCTCAGTGAAGCTTTTGTTCTACATCTGACATTTACTGCAGTTTCAAACCTTCCAAGCTAGAAGAATCCCCTTATGCCATGAAAGTTATCTGATTCTGTGTTGAGGCAGGACCTTTTGCTCATAATCCATTCTGTTCAACAAAATGCCTGGTTCACTGGGGAGAACTGTTAGGGGTCTGTTACAGTAGTAGGCAGATGAGGTTCTGTAGACTGCAATTTCAGGAGATTAGACTAGATGATCATGATTCTCTCTTCCGACATTAAAGTCTACAAATCTATGAGAACAGCAGCCTGAAACCTTGCCATCCCCACAAGGGCTAAGATGGATATGCCACAAAACACCATGTAGCCAAAGAACAGAGAAAACTGAGGAAGTTTCAGGAGCCAGAAAGAAAAGAAAAAAAAATTAATAAAAGTGAGACATAACATAAATAACCAGGAAAGCAGAGGAAAAAGACAAGTCAGGGGTTGAGAGAAAAGAGGGATGACATGAGAAAAATTATGAGAGAAGACAACACGAGGAAAACAGGAATAAAAATAAAACAGAGAAAAGATCTCTAATAAGTTTCAGTATGAGAAAAATAGTATGAAACAGTACTCTTACCTCTCCATGTTCTTCAAAGAATTCATTTTTATGTCGGTGCAAAGTATCAATAACCCTAGTTAGGATTTGAGGCAGCCTGTCCTTAATTGTAAAATATGCAAAAGATCTAACAAGAAAAGAATCAAAGCATTACATTAATTACTCAACTAACACGAACAGATTTAATATCTTTTCCCTATTTATTCATTACTTTATTTTCAAGTGCAATCTATCACATTTAAGGATAGCATATAAAATGCAGTAATTTCTGTTTTGCTAGCTGCTTTTGAAGTTAGAGGGAGGAGTTAGCAAATGTGAAAAATTATTTTTCATTTCACCATATCCTAATGGACTAAAGAAATACTTTGGCCCTGGCAGACCAGTGAATTCCAGTGTAAAACACCCTTTCATGGAGAATGCTCAGTTATCAGATGTTGAAATCAAAGGAGGTAGGCCCAAGTGCCCAAATGGCTCATTAGAAGAAACATACACTGTTTTAACCTTGTATCTTATTGACCCCGGCTAATAAAAGCAAAGTAACCTTACACTTACCCTACATTTCCATGTTACAACATACCCAGTTCCTAAAATAATTTACCTGGATGAATCAATACCAGATTTGAAGAAGGGCAATAAGCAGGGGTGAAAGTAAGTTAGAGGACTTACCGGTAGTCGGAGTCCTGAGCAGGGGGTGTGGCCTCAACCGGAAGAGGCAGGGCCTTAAATCCCTGGGCCCTTTAAATCTTGATTTAAAGGGCAGAGCTCCAGCTGCAGTAGTGGCAGCTGGGAGCCCGGGGCTCTTTAAATCACCCCCAAGCTACCAGCTGCAGAGGCAGCTGCGAGCCCCGGAGGCGATTTAAAGAGCCCAGGGCTCCAGCTGCCACTACCACAGTGGAGCCCTCTGCCCTTTAAATCACTGAGGAGCCCTGGGGCTCCCAGCTGCCACCGCTACCCTGGGGCTCTGGCAGAGCTTTAAAGGGCCTGGGGCTCCACTGTGGTAGCAGCTGCCAGAGCCCTGAGCCCTTTAAATCCCCACCTGAGCCCTGGGGTAGTGGCAGCAGGGCTCTGGCAGGGATTTAAAGGGCCCCGGAGCTCCAGCCGCCGCTACTGCCCCGGGGCCCTTTAAATCCCCGCCTGAGCCCTGCTGCCCGAGCTCTGGGGTAGCGGTGGCTGGGCTCCATCACAGATTTAAAGGACCCCAGGGCTTCAGCCGCCGCTACCGCTCCAGCCCTTTAAATCCCTTCCGGAACCCCGCCACTGCTACCCCAGGGCTTCGGCAGCAGGGCTCAGGTGGGGATTAAAAGGGCCGCAGGGCAGTATCGGTGGCTGGAGCTCCAGGGCCCTTTAAATCCCGGCCTGAGCCCTGCTGCCTGAGCCCTGGGGTAGCGGCGGCGAGGCTCTGGTGGGGATTTAAAGGGCCCCGGGACGGTGGCGGCGGCTGGAGCTCCGGGGCCCTTTAAATCCCCGCCACTGCCGCTACCCCAGGGCTCGGGCAGCAGGGCTCAGATGGGGATTTAAGGGGCCCCAGGGAAGTAGCAGCGGCTGGAGCGCCAGGGCCCTTTAAATCCCCGCCAGAGCCCCGCCGCCACTACCCCAGGGCTCAGGCAGCAGGGCTCAGGCCGGGATTTAAAGGGCCCAGGACGATAGCAGCGGCTGGAGCTCCAGGGCCCTTTAAATCTCCGCCGCAGCCATCCCAGGGCTTTAAATTGCCCTCTCTGAAAGCCGGTCCTGATACAGCACACCGGCTCTTACTGGTACACCGTACCGGCTTACTTTCATCTCTGGCAATAAGTAAAAGAAAATGACATGCATTAAAGCGCTCACTATAACTAGTCAGAACATTTTCATTTAAATTTCAATTCAGCAAACTATGTTTTGTCAAAATTAAAACGTTTCATGAAGACATATTGTTTTCACTAAACTTTTGTTGGGAAGGTTTTGGGGTCCAGGATGAGGGATGAAAAGCCTTGGCTCTGAATCAGGCAGAGCAGGGACTTGAACCTGAGTCTCCCACATTCCAGACCAGTGTCCTAACTACCAAGTTGTAGAGTACGGATTGGAAATCTATGGCACGCATGCCAAAAACAGCACGCGAGCCAATTTTTAATGGCACGTTGCTGTTTGCTGGACCCGGGCAGACAGCAGCGTGCCACTAAAAATCCTGCCCGGCCCAGCCCACTCTTTTCCGCTCCCCACCCTCCCGTTGCAGGGCAGGCAAGCTTCCCCCTCCCCCAGCCTCTTCCCCGAGCATGCTGGGTTCCTGCCCCTCCTTCTCTCCCTCCCTTGCTACAGAGGGGGAGAGGGAAAAGCGGAACTGCAGCACGCTCCGGGGACCTTGGGGAAGGGGGTGGAATCAGGGCATATCCCCTCCAGCCCCCTGCCCTGAGCTGCTCAGGGCAGTGGGCTGGGAGCACCCCCCAGCCCTCTGCCCTGACCCCTGCACCCCCCAACACACACCCACACCCCATGCCCTGACTCTTGCACCCCCCACATCCTCACTCCCACCCCTCGCACCAAATGGGAGCTCCTGCACACACACCCCCACATTCCCACCTGCATCCCTCGCACCAAATGGGAGCTGCCCAGGTAAGCGCTCCACACCCAAACCTCCTGCCCCAACCCTGAGCCCCCTCCCTCATTCTAGCTCCTGGCCAGAGCCTGCACCCTAACCCCCAGCCTGCTCCTTCTCCCCCAGCCCTGTTCTCAGCACACACCCACCCTCATCTCAGTGCAGAGAGAGGAAGAGAATGGCTAGAACCAGGGAGAAGGTAGGTACCTACTCTATGTGGACAGGGCCGGGACTCCAGACCGGCAGCGGGCTGAGCGGGGCCGGCAGCCGGGACCCTGGCTGGCAGGAGCCGGTGGACGGAACCCCAGACCAACAGCAGGCCGAGTGGCACTCAGCCCACTGCCAGTCTGGGGTCCTGGCCGCAGGCCCTGCTCAACCCACTGCCGGCCTAGGTGAACGGAACCCCGGGCCAGCAACGGGCTGGGCGGGCCAGCAGCGTAAGATCAGCATTTTAATTTAATTTTAAATGAAGGTTCTTGAACATTTTGAAAACCTTGTTTACAATAGTTTAGTTATAGAATATATATACTTATACTTATTATTATATAATATATACACTTATAGAGAGAGACCCTCTAAAAATGTTAAAAATGTTTTACTGGCACACAAAACCTTAATTTAAAAAGTGAATAAATGAAGACTCGGCACACCACTTCTGAAAGGTTGCCAACCCCTGTTGTAAAGCAACTGACATGCAGGCACACTCCCCTTTACCAGTCTGTTTTTCTAAACAAATTCAAAAGGAATATTTTTGGTGGTGTTGTTCCAATATGGAACAAAAACAAATTTCAAAACCTTGAGAGTTGCTACACTATAACACTGCCATTTTCCCATAGTTCTGGTCCTCATCTCATGAAGTGTTTTTCCAACTCTGGTAAAGAAGATTCGTCAAGGACGCAAGTTGACAGGCATCACTTGCGTCACCTTTTCAGATGATAATATAATACTGTCAAGCTAGTGCTACAATGTATGTACACTGATAAGGTGATATACAATCCTATACATATGATTACTTTAATACACACAAAAAATTCACTGTGAAGCAATCAGGACTGCTAACCCCACAGCATACCTGATCCAAACTCACAATATCAGGGAGAATATAGGGTATGTTAAAGTACATAGACTCTGTTCCTCCACTCACACTTCATCATCACCACAAATATCAAACACAGACCATGCACTGCAACCTCAACTCTGTTTCCCCTGTTTTGTTTCTGCACATACCCCTTTGCCAGATTTCTCCTCCTTCACTTCTTCCCCCAATACTATTAGTTATGGATATCAGGTATAAGGTAAAGGGTTAGATGCAGAAGGATTGCTAAAGGGAGACTGCCCAGCCTTCTGTCATGAAAGGACAAAATTAAGGTTGTCATGTATGGTCTTTGTTGTACTGCATAAGTCTCTTCTGTCAGATTTTATTCTACAGCAGCAGAGAAAGTGTAGCTCCTGGTGGGGAAGATTTCATATGTCCCGGATTCCAATGAACCATTAGGCCACCATATGCAGTGTATAACCCTAAATCCAATCTTTTTTTAAAACCTCTCATTACACCAGCTCTACTCAGAATACACACCTCTCTACCAATTTTTTTTGTAGACAGACAATGTTTTGAAGAGATATTGGTCAATAACAAAAAGGTAAAACTCAAAAAAAATTTTTTGCCAGAACCCAATTTCAGAGACTTCCTGTTTAAAACCAAACCAAACAAAAGCTACCAGGGAAAACCACAAAGGGCATAAGAATTAATCCTGTGTGAAATTTCACCTCAATAAGCCACCTACCTTTAGAGAAAAATAGGAATTCAAGCAATATTTTAAGTCAATTTTAGTCATTACTAGTCACCTCCATTTACTAAATGTCAGTAATAATACAGAGAGATGACAGGCTGACAAAGGTGGCTGGTATCTACCACAGTGTATCAATTTACATTAACACGGAGTTACTGGTCACAAAAACTACATTAATAACTTTAGAGACTAACCAGTGCCACAAGTACTCCTTTTCTTTTTGCAAATACAGACTAACCCGGCTGTTACTCTGAAACCTGTCATTAATAACCTTAAACTACAATTTTAATAGATACCTACAATTTTTATAGAGACTAAAACCCATCTTCATCCAGCTGGAGGAACACCTCCATGGGTACAGAATACATGCAGATATACCGGCGCTGAAGCCCCCAGCACAACTGCACCGACTGGGGAGCGAGAGCTGAAGGTCTGGCCAGAGGAGCAGTTTCACTTCCAGTGGCACGTCTGTACCTCTCTGCCTTACTACCAAAACAGCGTTTGCGGTGCCCCCAAGGATGCAGGGAGTGCGGGTTGACAAGGATGCCCGCAGGGCTTGTGTAGAAGGGAGACTAGCGGTAAGGGCGAATCACCCAGGACAGCCGCCCCAGCTGAGCGGGGGTAAGAAGGGCCCATGACAGCCTGGTCGGCACCGCACAGGGAGCGACGCTGTCTGACCGCGCTGCGTCCCCGCGCACAGAAGCGGAGCTGAGGCGACAGCGGAGCTCCACAGCCGGCTCTCGGGCTACCCACCCCTCCGCGCCTTGGCCGCCCCCGAGTCAGGGAGCCCCGTTAGCGCACCGGCCCAGCGGCCGCCCGCGCACGCTGCCGAGCCGTGACCGGCGGGGAGTCACAAGCCGGGGCAGGGCTCGACGTTCCGCCGCCCTCTCCAGCCGCGGCGCCCTGCGGAGGTCGCTGCTGGACACAGCCCCCCCCCAGGACAGGTTCGTCCCACGAGAGCCCGGTGCCAGCGCCCCGGTGTCGGGCGCTCTCAGGGAAGCCGGTGCCAGAGCGGCGCCTGGATGGGCTGAGATGCCCCGCCCCGCTTCAGCGCTACCCCGCTTGCGAACCCCCGCCGAGCCGTGACGGACCCCTTGAAGCTGCCCGCCAACGAAGCCGGTACCCCCGCCATCTTCCCCCCGCAGAGTAGTACTGCGGCACCGCTCCGGAAATGACGCAAGCACGCCTAGTTGCGTCCTCAATACGCAGCATTAGCGCCGCAGGGAGGAGGAACAAACACGCGGGGCGGGCCGCACGGGAGCGCAATTGGTGGGCGAGGGGGCGTGGTTACATGGTAAGAGCGCGCGGTGTGGCGGGGATTGAAGGTCGGGAGCCGGGTACGGGGACAGGCAGTTGGGCGCTGCCGTTCCCCGCGCGACAGGGAAAGGAGCCGCCCCTCCCCCCCCACCCCCGGACGCTCAGGTCACTGGTAGGGTGCGACCCCCGCCCCTTGTGAACAGAGCCGCGCGCGGCTGTCAGGCCTTCCGAGTGTGTCGGGGCGCGAGCCCCCCCGTGCGCGCGAGGGGTCCGCGGGCCCCCGGAACGGCTGCCGCTGAGAATCGGCCCCCGCTGGCTGCCAACGGCCGCCTGGGGGGAGGCGCTGAGCCGGGGCTCTGAGCGCCGAGGGCTGGGCCTTATGAAGGGGAGGCTGGAGGCGGCGCCGGCCTCCCCACGGCTCGGGCTCCCGGCTGCTGCCCTGCTGCCGCCCGCAGCCGCGCGCCTCCCCCGCAGCTCCCAGGGCGGCCTACCGAGGAGTCGGTGTCATCGCCCCATTTTATAGATGGCGAAACTGATGCCTGGAGGGTGTTTAGGCCTGGAGGGAGTGGGCGAAACCACATGCGTTTCTGTTCTAGGCCTTGGCTGCCCTGGCCTGTGCCAGTTCAGCAGGCTGGTCGGAAGCAGAGGCCCCAGCTCCTGACTGATGTATGGAGGGGGAGGGGGTCTCTTAGTACAACCTTTCCAGGTGCCCTGCCCAACAGGGCTCTTCCCGTTTCAGGACCCTGAGGTAGGTCAGGATTCTGCAGCTGCTCCTACATCACAGCAGTGCTCGGATACAACCACCAGCGCCCCAAGCTGCAATTCAGGGCATGTCTACACTGGCAGAGTTACAGTGCCACCCAGAGAGTGCTGAAGGGAAACCGCTGTTGTGTGGTCTCACTGTCAGCTGCCAGCGCAATAGCGTGTTCATACTTGCGGCACTTGCAGCGGTATTTGGAGCGGTGCTCTCTGGGCAGCTATCCCACAGAGCACCTCTTTCTCTTCTGCTGCTAAGACTTGTGGGAAGGTGAAGGGGGTTGCAGGGCGTCCTGGGTCCTGTCCCAATGTCCTGTGATGCATTGCTTTGCATCCCAGCAATTGCTGTGCTTCTGTCTGTATTTGGCGCCATCTTTCAATGGTTTCTGTACTGCGCACCCTGCCTCTTCAGGCTGCAGGAGTGGATCCCGAACTGTTGACTAGTATGCTGCTCGCTCTGACCAACACGTCACAAGTGACAGTGGAGTTATTCCTTAAACTACAAAGGCAAGAGGAGTGTGACATTGATCTCGCTACGCATAGTAGCTACGACACAAAATTACTTGTGGCATTCATGGAGGTGCTGACCATAGTGAAACGCTGCTTTTGGGCTCAGGAAACGAGCACTGAGTGGTGCGATCACATCGTGATGTATTTCTGGGATGACAAGCAGTGGCTACGGTTGGTGGATGTGATTTAAATCAAATTAGTGGAAGACTCAATTCAATCATGGTTTTCTACATAAAAGTGCATTCTTGTTGATTGTTATAACCTTAATACATATTCTTCACAACTCCGATAAATGTAGGTTTCATTGTTAGAAGGTGCACACTATACATTTTTAAAGTGAATTATTTTGAAAACTTTTCAGGTTAGTTTTACAGCTATATCAGAAAATGAATGATTGGTTATTTCATTTACCAAAAGTAATTAAAGCATATATTTATGAAGTTATTGGGAGGTGAGCTATCTCCAATTCAACAGGTTAATCATTAATATTTGGAGGAGTTTCTTGCCATGCTGTATTAGGAGGAGTACATCAGCAGACATTTAAATTGTTTTATTTAACTAAAACAACAATGTTATGTATTCTGGATTTTTTTCTTCAACAGCAAACATAATGTTTTAACAAAACAAGCATATGAATTTTTGAATTTAGTTAAACATTCAAGTTTTTTAAAATCAGGTTTGTTTTTGTTAAAATTGTTTAAAATAGTTAAATGAAATATTTAAAAAAAATTAAATCAACTATGGCAGCCAGGTCAACATGAGAAACTTAAAATATTGGCTTCTGCAGCTAATTCAGTCGTCTTCACCTTCATTTTCCTCTTTGTTCATAATCTGGGAAAGGTCCCAAACAGTTTCTCAATTTGGAATGAATTAGTTTAAAGGAAGAAAATATTCTTTCTACACCAGCAGAGGAAGCAACTGCTGGTAAAAGTGAGATTATCACTTCAGCAGTCTCTGAATCCAAGTATTTAAGTGACTTCCAACCAGTTCACTGGTGTGACTTTCTTTAAAACATCATCAGCAAACATATATTTCTTGAATGGTTCACACTTATTATAGTTGGCATTATGGAGGGATGATTGCTGGATGTCCATGTCATAGCCAACTCCTCTTCTTCAGCAGTTAAGGTTTGACGAGTATTAGGAATATTTGCAAGAAAATGAGCTGGAGATGGTGCTTGTCCCATTTCTTTTTTTTAATGCTTGTAATTTAACTCTGTCATTGTATATTTCTCTTTTTAAGATCTCACTCAATTCCTTCGAGATTTCAACAGCGTCAGCAATAAAACAGCTATTTCCCTGCATTTTGTTCAAGGCTACAGAAATATGCTTCGGGGTACTCCGCATGTGTTCAACATTTCTCTTAAGTCCAATGTTGAGAACTTTGGCTCTGACAGTGCAATCTATTTTTTTCACTAATTTGTTCACAAACTGTCCTAAGATTAGGCCAGTTCTTGATATAGTGCTCAAAACAGTCCACTACTGAGTTCCATTGCACGTCTTGTGGGAGAGTTAGCTTGGTTCCTCCCACTTTTTTCAGAGCAGCTGCTGCAAAGTGGTTGTTACAGAAGTATTTTGCAATTTCCACAACATTATCCTTTATTTCTGGAACACTGAAGTCTGGCTAAGAAGTGGATCAAATGAGCACTGCAACTATATGTTGTTAGCTTGGGACTCTTTTCACACTCTCCTAAATTATTTCTTCTCATCTTGGATACATTTGCAGCATTGTCTGTGACCAAGCTGCTTACTAGACATTTGAATTTTTTTTTTCAGTTTGTTATAGCTTTTACTGCTGCTACTACTTGTAAGTATTCTGCTGTGTGTGCATTTCCTGATGTATCAATTGTTTCTGTAAGGAAGACACTCCCTTCTTCTGTTGTCACAGAAGCACATACAACAGGATCATTGTGGACGTTGCTCCACCCAAGACTTAGGTTAATAATTTCACCCTCTAGACCTTTTGCACACTGCTCAATTTCTCTTTCATACACTTTACCCAGCAATTTGCCTGCAATATCTGCTCTGTTGGGTGGATTGTATCCTGGTCTTAATGACTGAACCATGTTAATGAAGTATGGGTTCTCAATCATATGGAAAGGGGAGTTTTTTTGCATAAACAAACCGGGCAATCTTTTAATCAATTACTACTTTTTGTAATCTGCTGGTTCTTATCACAAACTTGTCAATGGTGGTTTCTGAATGATGATGGAGTTGTTTTTTAGTTTTTGCTACAGGTGATATACTGTGGCTATGTGACATACGTGATGTGACTGAAACACTATCATTAGCAGATAACTCTGAAACTATAGAAAATTATGGTGATCTTGAAGGTGGATAGTCTTCAGAATCCTGTATGTTGAGGATGGATTCTCCTAATTAAATAATTGCATTGACTTATTTTGTTTGTTGTTACTATACTGCTCATTTAGTATTACTCATTGCATTCACTGATACTCAGTACTGCTTTAAAGGTGAAATTGTAAAAGGAAGATCTGTCTATTTCAGCTATTTATTTTTTATCACAACTGCATCTAAAATGATAGTACCATAGAGTAACAACTATATTTTTTACTCAAACATGAGAATTTAAGAATAGTCTAGAAGGAAGATAGGCAGTCCTTAAGAAAAGTATGAAATAAAAAAGTTTACCAACCTGAAGATCCTTCTAGTTCAGACATGATCCTTTCATCATCTTCAGTGCAGCTTCCTCCTGAGAAGAAACACTTCTCATGATGATGTTTCTATCAGGCAACCCAGGCCTTGCATTTCTTTGTTGCACTGTTTGCATTTTGCACGCATGCCTGTCTTACCCACGGGTAGAGGAACTTCATTAAAATATTCCCAAGCTGGGTCTCTTTTACGGCCTGCTGCTATTATAGATTTTCCCTTCTAGTGAGAGAATAGTATGGTAGATCTCAAATCAATGATGGCTACACTCAGAAAGACCTCAAGACTTCTGGAATATGCTGCTCAAACAGTTTCACTTTTGTTTCTGCTGCCTGTCCCTCCCTTCTCACATTTATCTCCAGACTTCTTCTCCTTGTCCAGATCTATTCCGTCCTCAACAATCTTCTATTCATTGAACTTTTTGAAACTGTGCACTTTTAGAGAGAGGTAAGAGAGTGACGCTGTGTACACAAATTTGCAGAGGGACAGTAAGGTTGAGGTCTGTTATTTCTCACCTCTATATATTTTATTTATAACATTTTTGCTGTTAACAAGCATGTTATCTCTGGAGACAAATCTACCATTGGAGAACTGCAAAACTAAGCATCTCTGATGCTCAGTCTAGAAGATACCGAGTCCCATTGGGTAGATAGATTAACCTAAATAATCTATACAGAAGCTCCTGGAACCCCATAAGATTTGGGTCCTTAATCCATGAACTATTGGAACACATTTACAAGACTTTTTTAAACATTACTTGAATATATTGTCTCATACTATAGAATTAGAATTTATAATCTCTATTCTATATTATGATGAGATATCTTTGAGCTATAATGTATCTTAATTAAAACTCTTTTCCTCAAAAAGCATTTTATAAAAAATATCCGATTTAAATGAAAAATCTGATTTTTTTTTTTTTTAATATCATTGATTTTTATCCACCATGGCTTCAGAAATTTTGTATGAGGAAAGCCACATTCATGGGACTGTGAGATGAACTCACCCCAGCCCTGCACCGCAAGGACACAAGAATGGGAGCTACCCTGCCATTGGAGAAGCGCGTGGCGATTGCACTATGGAAGCTGGCTATTCCAGGCTGCTACTGATCGGTCACTAATCAGTTTGGAGTGGGAAAGTCTACCATTGGACTCACGTTGATGGAAGTGTACAGGGCCATTAATTGCATCCTGCTCCGAAAGACCGTGATTCTGGGCAATGTGCGTGACATTGTAGCTGGTTTTGCACAAATGGGCTTCCCTAACTGCGGAGGGGCAATACATGGCATGCATATTCCGATTCTGTCACCAGACCACCTAGCCACCAAGTACATTAATCACAAGGGGTATTTCTCAGTGGTTCTCCAGGCACTTATGAATCACCATGGGCATTTTACAAACGATGCAGGCTGGTCCAGAAAGGTGCATGACACATGCATCTTTCAGGACTCTGGCCTGTTCAGGAAACTGCAAACAGGGACTTTCTTCCCGGACCAGAAGATCACCGGAGGGGAAGTCGAAATGCCCATTGTGATCCTGGGAGATCCTGCCTACCCCTTAATGTCAGGACTTATGAAGTCATACACGGGGCAACTTGACAGCAGCAAGGAGCAGTTCAACAACAGGCTGTACAAGTGCAGAATGTTGAGTGTGCTTTTGGCAGTTTAAAGGCCCGCTGGCGCTGCCTCTATGGGAAGCTGGACCTTATTCAATATTCCTATGCTTATTAGCTTTGTGCTGTACACTCCATAATATTTGTGAATGGAAGGGTGAAAGCTTCACTCGGGGCTGGACCGCTGAGGCTCAGTGCCTGGAGGCTGAGTTTGAACAGCCAGAGACCAGGGCTATTAGCAGGACACAGCACGGAACCATAAGGATCAGGGATGCCTCGAGGCAGCAACTTGAAGCTAAGCACCACTAATATTTGTTGCTATGCTCGGGAGTGCGGTGCTTGTAATGCTAAGAGGTGATTGGCGCACATGATGCAATATGCGGGTTTAACATAATTGTGTGTTGCTTTGCAGGGCTCATTTTGCTTTCAGTTAATAGAATAAAGATTGCTTTCAAGCCAACGCAATTCTTTTATTAAAAGACAACAACTGTAGGAGAGAGTCAAATAAAAAAAGTAGTGAGGGGGATAGGGGAAGGGAAGGTCCCAAGAGGAGGAGGAAGAAGAGGGACCCGGGGCTGGCTAAAGATTTGTGTATGTCCAGGGATCATACCCAACCTTCTCCTTTGGAGTACAATGCAACACAGACAATACTGATTCAGTGTTTTAAAACACAGCCAGTACTCTCACACCTGTCACTAACTGGCTGATGCCAGGCAAGCACACATGAGCCACAAGACCCCCAAAATGGTGAGTAGCTGCAGGGGCAGGGTAAATCACTCTTCCCGGACCCTGCTGTACACTGGGCACGTGGCTCTTGGGGAGAGCCAGCACTGTGGGGGAGCCTGATAATCATTCCTGTCCCCACACTTTCCACAGGATGTGATAATTATGAAAGATATCTTACTGCTGAGGGTGAGCAAGGAAGCGAGGGAGGGTCTTCTCCAAGACTGCTGCTTCCACCCTGGCCCCTATGCGGCTCACCTGTGTGCAGCAATGGTACCTCCTCTTCCCACCCTTCCCGTGACATAGTGGAGCAGGAAAGTTACCATTAATGGGGCAAGAAACAAAGCAGCTCTGCTGAAGAACCTGCGGCAGCAGATTGCCCAGTATCTCCACAAGAGTTTCCTGGAGATCTCTGAGGGAGATTCCCATGAAGTGAAGGAATCAATCAACATCCTGTTCCGCCACTCAGACTAGGCATGTGGTGGGAGACAAACCTGCTTTCTGCAAACCTCCTGCCCCCAACTCCTTGCTTCAGCAATTCCCAAAATCAAATCCACTTACCGAGGGCCGCCTCTCCTGTTTGTGCTTTGCCAACATCCAACAGCTGTGACTAGCTAGCCTCTGAGTTATCCTCTGCCACCACATCCTTGTCCAAGATTTCCTCCTCCTGGCTCAGTCCACTCTCAACTGGCACGTGAGCCACCGAAGTATCCACGGTGGTCTTCATATGGTTTTCATAGTGAAGGTGGGGTCACAGCTGAGTATTGCATCCAGCTCTTTGTAGACCCCGCAGCTCGTGGGCGCAGCACCAGAGCAGCTGTTTGTTTCCCATGCCTTGTGGTAGGCATTCCGCAGCTCCTTCACTTTGAGCCTGCACTGCAGTGTGTCCCGGTCATGGCCCCTTTCTGTCCTGCATTGTGAAATTTGTCCGTAGGTATCATAATTCCTACAGCTGGAGCACAGCTGTGACTGGACGGCCTCCTCTTTCCCAAATGTTGATGAGCTCCCGCAGCTCAGCATTTCTCCAAATGGGGGATTGCCTGGTGCGTAGAGCAGGCATGGCCACCTTAAGGTGACCAGATAGAAAGTGTGAAAAATCAGGACAAGGGGTGGGGGGGTAATAGGCACTTATATAAGAAAAAGCCCCAAATACCAGGACTGTCCCTAGAAAATCGGGACATCTCGTCACCTTAGGCCACCTGGAAAGATTCACTGAGACCCCTGCACGTGTCACTGAGCAAACAGGAAGGGGACTTTCAAAATTCCAAAGGAATTTACGGGGTGGGGATGACGGTTGGTCACCTGAAGGCAGGGCAGTAGAGTTCAAACCGATGACCATAGAGGTGAGAACAGGCATTGTGGGCCACCTCCCGGAGGCCAATCACAGAGCTGTAATCGACGACGGTGTCTACGCTGGCACCGCAGCGCTGTAGCCTCGGCACAGAAAGCTGTACGCCTCTTGTTGGGGTGGTTTTTCCAAAGCGCTACAACTGCGCGGTTCCTGTGTACTAAGTGGTTTGGCCGTGTGTACACCTTGGGAGTTACAGCGCAGAAACTTGCTAGTGTAGACAGGGCCCCAGGAATCAAGTTGGATCAGTGAGGCGTGGTCTGCACCTCAAATGTAGGTTGAGCTACCTATGTTGCTCAGGGCTGTGAAAAATTTCAAGTCCTCTATGGTGTGGAAGAGTCAACCTAACCCCCACTGTGGATACGGGTAGATCAGTGGAAGAATTCTTCCATCAGCCTAGCTGTTGCTTCTTGGAGAGGTGGATTGCCTTTGTAGACAGAAAAACCCTTTCTGTTGCTGTAGCAAGAGTCTGCACTGCAGTACTTGTGTAGGTATACGCTGAGTCTCTCTGTCTTGAGAAAAGAGCTCTGTCCTTTGGGGAGGAGGTGATTACTGTGTCTTCTTCCATTAGTCAGAACCTAAGAACTGATTTGAAACTTCTTCTCTCCCACTCAGTTCATATAGGTCTCTGCCCCTAATTATATCCTTCCTGCCTATAGTACAATTAAACTACACACAACTGGTCCACTGATTCTCTTGTTCTGAATGTGTAAAGCCCCTCATCCGACAAGTCTGCAAATATCGAAAAACATGTTTAACTTTGGGAGTAGTCCTATTGAACTTGTATATGTTTTTACAGGACTGGGCTACAGGCTGTGCATACACTTAATATTTTTAGAAATTCTTGCACAAGTGGTCACTGCAGCTTCAGCAGTGCTGGTAATGGAAGAACACAAGTGCATTTTAACCTCTGCTGCCTGCATCCAGTCTACATTAACGTTCCCACCATTGTGAGTACTAGTAGAGCAGCAGTGGTCATAGACAAATGGTGGAAGAGTTTCTGAAAATGCTTAGTGGAGATAAGGCCTAAATGCAGAACGCTGGTGCAAGAATGGGTTATGATTAGTACATAGTATTTAAAGGGCTTGTGTGGAAGAAACTGGAACCCATGATCCATTCACAGATTTTGATAATCCTACATACCACATGGTCTCCTCCTGTTGCATTTCCAGCTGAAAATGCGATTGACTAACTACTTATTATTTGCAAAAAGAAAAGGAGGACTTGTGGCTAACAATTTGAGACTAACAAATTTATTTGAGCATAAGCTTTCGTGACCTACAGCTCACTTAATTGGATGTGTTCAGTGGAAAATACAGTGGGGAGATTTATATACACAGAGAACTTGAAACAGTGGGTGTTACCGTACACACTAATGAGAGTGATCAGGTAAGGAGAGCTATTACCATTGGGGGGGGGGGACACCTTTTGTAGTGATAATCAAGGTGGGCCATTTCCAGCAGTTGACAAGAACATCTGAGGAACAGCTGGGGGGAATAAACCAGACTCCCAAGGAGAGACTGCTGAATTGGAATTAATTTGCAAACTGGATACAATTAACTTAGGCTTGAATAAAGACTGGGAGTGGATGGGTCATCACACAAAGTAAAACTATTTCCCCATGTTTATTCCCCCCACTACCCCCCCCCCCCACTGTTCCTCAGACGTTCTTGTCAACTGCTGGAAATGGCCCACCTTGATTATCACTACAAAAGGTCCGTTCCCTCTCCCCTCGCCCCCCGCTCTCCTGCTGGTAATAGTTCACCTTATCTGATTACTCTCCTTACAGTGTGTATGGTATAACACCCATTGTTTCATGTTCTCTGTGTATATAAATCTCCCCACTGTATTTTCCACTGAATGCATCCGATGAAGTGGGCTGTAGCTCATGAAAGCTTATGCTCAAATAAATTTGTTAGTCTCTAAGGTACCACAAGTCCTCCTTCTCTTTTTGCGGATACAGACTAACATGGCTGCTACTCTGAAACCTACTTATTGTTTGTATTTATTACTTATATAGTGCCAGCAGCATTCTGGAATCTGTAGAGACATCAGAAAACAACCGATGGACATTTATCCCAGTTAGTTGTTATGTAAGATGTAGTGCACTAACTATGCTGATTATTTCTTAAAGGAGGAATGAGAACATGATTTTATATTATATTTCATTTGCTGTTACAAATTTGACATCAGCTCTGACCTTTTTGGTGAATCTTAAACTGGGTCATGGCAAGTTTTTTATTTAAAACTATTGAGTAAAAAATCATTCTTGGTATGATTAATTAAGTTAGTGGAGTTACCCTACCTGCCCCTCCGGATGGATTTAACTCTGTAGTCATGTTTTTGTTTGTTTAATTATTATTTGTATTATGTTAGTATCTAGATGCTCCATTCAGAATTGAGGTCTTGTTACAATGTGTGTTTTTGTACATTATTCTTCATGCACAAGAACATGACAATTTGAAGTATTATTTCGAATACATGTTGGAGGATTGGGAATTGGGTTCTTGTTAGGTATACTGTAATTTTAATTTGCATATTTCATTAGGAATGCTCCCATCCTTGAAAAACTTAGCACATTCCAAAAAACAAAACAAAAACCCCTAAGCAAGTGCAGTTTTAATTTCATTGTGCATTATGTCCCTATGAGGGAAAAGCATACCTTCTCCTAGTAAGAAGCCTAAAGACCCCCTGAAGATGCCTCTATGCAGGAGGTTTTTCCAAAAAATGTTCTCCAAAAAGGCAATTTTTTCCATAAGAAAACACTTGCTGTGTTTCTGTCTGCCTCTTATTACGAGGGTTATTTGCCTGAAAACAGCTCCTGTGTTTTCAGGCAAATGTTCCACATAATGAAAAGCAGGTGGGGAAAGACTTAGAGTTGCGTAACTGTTTATAAATGGAATGTGCTTCATGAGGTGTTAGTAGCATGTTAAATTTACCACCTTTGGAACAACTCTGGCAGCTTATTTATATTGGCACACATAATGTGGTCCAAAATCTTCGGGACTCTCTCTCATTCTAGCATAACTGATTTTATTTTGGTTAGTGCTAGTTACTGGACAATGTCAAACTCCTGTCAAAATCATTGGGGTGGAATTCAAGCAGTTCTTCTGCAATAACTTGCAGGATTGAGGCCTTACTGACCTAATTGGTATCAGTTTCTTATGGGATTCTGTATGATAGATTAATAACCACAACACTTGTATCTGTGTTGGGCTGTTTGTGAGGCATGGTAATTGGTATTGTCAGACAACATGCATGTATTGTAGGTGACTTTCTTTAAGAAGTGTTCACTAACTAATATAAATGTTAGAGATCAGTATTCAGACTATAAGGTCTGTATAGTTTGATGTCCTAGTCAATGTGAGCATCTTAATCCATGAGTTGAAGCTAATGGGGCTTACTCCATAATAAGGTGCTACTTGGTGTGAGTAAGGGTGTGAGAATCTAACTGAAAGTGCCTGCCTATCAGCTAGCATAAGAACCACTGTATTATCTTTCCCTGTCTTTTGAGGATGCTGGGCAAGAAATGCACTTTGACCTCATTCAGGAAGAATATCAAATGTTAGGGAACAGTATTCAGAACCATCAGTATTTTTTTTTATGTAGAATGCAAGAGGAGTATTGATAGACTCTTCTCTTTAAATACAACTGAACATAATGTGATTTCTTTCCAAGAGTTGATCTTTTAAAATTTTTTTTTTTATGCAGTTCAGAGAGAAGCGATGACAGTAAAACTGTTGGGATTCCTGGCTAGATGTTCCCATGTTTTAATGAAAATATGTGAATGCCAAGGCCGTCATAAACCTAGGCATCCAGTGTTAAAACTAAGCAATGATGTTGTCAGGGCATCATTCAGAACTCTAGCACCAAACAAAGACTTGAACTTGTGCACTCCTGAAACTGCTACCTGTTGCTTGACAAATCTGTGTGTGCGACTCAAGAATTGGCAAATGTCAGAAGCAAAAATTGTGAATTACCAGATCGGAGAAGTTTATCCTCCATTCAGGGACCATTTCGATACTCTAAGGACCGTGAACTACAAGCATGGACTAAGTAGTGCTAGAAAGTTTATGAAAATACCAACAAGACCTTACTCAGTTGTATCAACTAGTAAAATACTGCCAAAACAAAGTATTCTGCCAACTAAGAGACCACCGAAGGCACCTAGGACCAAACAGCCATCCAGAGCTAACCAGCCACTAGTGTCAGAAACTGAGGTAAAGTATAAAACTTATGTTGTCTGTTATGTGGAATGTTAAAGGAACGCTGTCAATTTAGTTTAGGTTCCAATTTTTTTAACAAACACTTTTCATAAAATTAAGTGAACTCTTTTTTTGGTGGAAGGAGGAGGATTTAAACATTCACATACGTGATTGTGAACATGAACAGTAGGAATATGCTGATAGAAGAAAAACAAAGTGAAATTCACTAGAAATAAGAATGTTATTGTCTAAAATGAAGCAGATGCAGCAAGCAGACTGCACAAATGGTGAGAAGAAAACCATATTATTAGAACAGAATAAGCTATAAAAGTTTTTTTTAATGGATTTAGCTTGTGTCCCTCTCTTGAGGTGTTGAAAGAGAAAATCTGCTCTTCAGAATCATTTAATCCTTGAACACTCTTCTCTTTCTGCCTCAGTGATTAACTGTCACCATTTAAAAGGCTTTTATTCTTCTCCATTTTTCTGCTGTTAAGAAAGTAATATGAAGGTATACAGAATACATTTCCAAATCGGTTTAAAAAAATTTCAGTTCAGGGAAGAAATAAGCAAAAATACTTAGGAAGTTTGTTTAGCTAGACAACAGAAGTATAACATTTTTTCTTTTTTGAGTCTGATTTTGCTATTCTTATCTTTAAAGGGATAGTTACATCATGTCAAGCTAAAGAGAAATAAATTATGCAAAAATGTTCCTTTCATTGGAAGCTCACAATATTTTCCTATAATCAGTCCTGAATTAGTGCATAGTTGTTGCATATACATTTCCCTAGGGGTTGGAGAAGGACAGCTATACATTTTGTATAGCTAGTTTCTGGGTCTGAGAATAAGCACATCATTGCACTTAGTGTTTGTGATACAATCAATGACAGGGCAAATCTTGCTTCCCTGATTCATGTGGGAAGTTCCATTGAAATCAGTAGAACTACTTGAATAAGTTGGGTGAGGAAGATTTGGTCTGACATTTATAAATGAAGGTAGTGTTTGTCACAAAGCTCTGCAGACCTGTTGGTTAAATAACTCCCAAATGATGGCAGAGGATAGAAACTGCATCAACAGAGCATGAGGACTGAATCATTCAAAAGGAAAAACTTGTATGCTCTTAAGAAACCATCTGGCATTGGGGTAAAGATGAGTAGTATGCCAGTGTAGTGTATGTTTGTGGGATTCAATCGGAACAAATCAATCAAGAAATCCATTTAACAACAACTGTCAATAGATATCTTTGCTACCCATTTCGCAGCGAATACTAGACCATACTTAACATTTTGCTAAATGATGACCAAGAGGGGGTTATCGTTGAGCTGAGGCTGAAGCATATGTCTACACTACAGTGTAAGCCCGTGCTTGAGCCTGGAATATGGTTACTTTTTCGGGTCTGCACATTGCCATGTGGACGCCAGAGCCCTAAGTTCAAGCACAGGTTAGAAAAGTCTTAATGTAGGGTTAAAGTACAATGTAGATGCTCAAGCTTAGGGTTCCCTAACACAGTTCAGCTGACTTGAGTCCCACAAACTCTGGGCATACCTTTTGAGGCTTGTGAAAAGCACTATACAAAACTAACAAATTGCTTAATTTTTTGACACTTCCATAAGCAGAATATGCATGTAAAAATATGAGGTGCAGCTGTGATTTTTCCATTGTCAAAAGGCAGAGCAAACTGTCTGAAGTACTGAAATAGTACTTCTTTCAGAGGAAGCTTTCACATTTCAAAACATTATGCCAGAGGTCACACAAATTCAGGCCTAATAAAAACATTTGTTATTTCAGAAATGACTTCTGTGCGTTTTCTTAACGTACAGCTCCACCTACTGGAATGCTGACATTTTGTAACCCAGCAAAAGGCTGACACAGAACACACTGCAACAAGAACATATGTTGACATTAAAAAAAACTTTCCTTGCATTGTACAAAAAGTCTCTAAAAGGCGTGTCTGAATCTCTATGGATAGTAATTCCATGCTCTAATAAGAATATAACAGTAGGGATCTATTATCAATCACCCGACCAGGACAGTGATGGTGACTATGAAATGCTAAGGGGGATTAGAGAGGTTATCAAAATAAAGAACTCAATAATAGTGGGGGATTTCAGTTATCCCCATATTGACTGGGTAAATGTCACCTCAGGACGAAATGCAGAGACAAAATTTCTCGATACTTTACCAGCTGCTCCAAGAAGCAGTCACTTACAGGAACCCACAAGGGGAAAGGCAATTCTTGATCTAGTCCTGAGTGGAGTTCAGGATCTGGTCCAAGAAGTAACTAACAGGACCGCTTAGAAATAGTGACCAAAATATAATAACATTTAACATTCCTGTGGTGGGAAGAACACCTCAGCAGCCCAACACTGTGGCATTTAATTTCAGAAAGGGGAACTATGCAAAAATGAGGAGGTTAGTTAAACAGAAATTAAAAGGTACAGTGACTAGAGTAGAATCCCTGGAAGCTGCATGGACACTTCAAAGACACCATAATAGAGGCCCAACTTAAATGTATACCCCAAATTAAAAAACCACAGTAAAAGCACTAAAAAAGAACCAGCATGGCTTAACAACCATGTAAAAGAAAGCAGTGAGAGATAAAAAGGCATCTTTTAAAAAGTAGAAGTCAAATCCTAGTGGGGTAAATAGAAAGGAGCAAACACACTGCCAAATTAAGTGTAAAAATGTAATAAGAAAAGCCAAAAAGGAGTTTGAAGAACAGCTAGCAAAAAACTCAAAAGGTAATAATAACAAAATGTTTTTTAAGTACTTCAGAAGCAGGAAGCCTGCTAAACAACCAGTGGGGCCCCTGGACAATAGAGATACAAAAGGAGCACTTAAGACGACAAAGTCATTGCGGAGAAACTAAATTAATTCTTTGCTTCAGTCTTCACGGCTGAGGATGTTAGGGAGATTCCCAAACCTGAGCCGTCTTTTGTAGGTGACAAATCTGAGGAATTGTCACAGATCGAAGTGTCATTAGAGGAGGTTTTGGAATTAATTGAGAAACTCAACAGTAACAAGTCACCGGGACCAGATGGCATTCAGAGAGTTCTCAAAGAATGCAAGTGTGAAATTGCGGAACTATTAACTATGGTTTATAACCTGCCCTTTAAATCAGCTACTGTACCCAATGACTGGAAGATAGCTAATGTAACGCCAATATTTAAAAAGGGCTCTAGAGGTGATCCTGGCAGTTACAGACTGGTAAGTTTAACATCAGTACCGGGCAAATTAGTTGAAACAATAGTAAAGAATAAAATTGTCAGACCCATAGAAGAACATAAATTGTTGTGCAAAAGTCAACATGGTTTCCGTAAAGGAAAATCATGTCTTACTAATCTATTAGAGTTCTTTAAAGGGGTCAACAAACATGTGGACAAGGGGGATCCAGTGGACATAGTGAACTTAGATTTCCAGAAAGCCTTTGACAAGGTCTCTTACCAAAGGCTCTTACATAAATTAAGTTTCGTGGGATAAGAGGGAAGATCCTTTCATGGATTGAGAACACATTAAAAGACAGGGAACAAAAGGTAGGAATAAATGGTAAATTTTCAGAATGGAGAGGGGTAACTAGAGGTGTTCCCCAAGGGTTGGTCCTAGGACCAATCCTATTCAACTTATTCATAAATGATCTGGAGAAAGGGGTAAACAGTGAGGTGGCAAAGTTTGCGGATGATTCTAAACTGCTCAAGATAGTTAAGACCAAACCAGACTGTGAAAAACTTCAAAAAAATCTCACAAAACTAAATGATTGGGCAACAAAATGGCAAATGAAATTTAATGTGGATAAATGTAAAGTAATGCACATTGGAAAAAATAACCCCAACTATACATACAATATGATGGGGGCTAATTTAGCTACAACTAATCAGGAAAGAGATCTTGGAGTCATCATGGATAGTTCTCTGAAGACATTCATACAGTGTACAGCGGCAGTCTAAAAAACCTAACAGGATGTTAGGAATCATTAAAAATGGGATAGAGAATAAGACGGAGAGTATCTTATTGCTCTTATATAAATCCATGGTATGCTCACATCTTGAATACTGTGTATAGATGTGGTCCCCTCATCTCAAAAAAGATACTGGCATTAGAAAAGGTTCAGAAAAGGGCAACTAAAATGATTAGGGATTTGGAATGGGTCCCATTTGAGGAGAGATTGAAAAGACTAGGACTTTTCAGCTTGGAAAAGAGAAGACTAAGGGGGGATATGATAGAGGTCTATAAAATCATGAGTGGGGTGGAGAAAGTGAATAAGGAAAAGTTATTTACTTGTTCCCATAATATAAGAACTAGGGGCCACCAAATGAAATTAATGGGCAGCAGGTTTAAAACAAATAAAAGGAAGTTCTTCTTCACTCAGTGCACAGTCAACCTGTGGAACTCCTTGCCTGAGGAGGTTATGAAGGCTAGGACTATAACAGGGTTTAAAAGAGAACTAGATAAATTTATGGAGGTTAAGTCCATTTATAGCTATTAGCCAGGATGGGTAAGGAATGGTGTCCCTAGCTTCTATTTGTCAGAGGGTGGAGATTGATGGCAGGAGAGAGATCACTAGATCGTTACCTGTTAGGTGCCCCAGAGGGAGTGAACCTGGCATTGGCCACTGTCGGCAGACAGGATACTGGGCTGGATGGACCTTTGATCTGACTCAGTATGGCCATTCTTATGACTTCTGCAAGATGACTGATGTAGTCCCAATGAATGGAGCAGAGTGAATTGATTCAGCTCAATCAGTTGATTTAAATAGGCAAGCAGGAAACCTTGATTTAAATAATTGATTTTAATCTTGTTTTGCGTTTCTGTTCTTTAGTTATTTTTCTAAAAGTTTGATTCTCATTGGTTAGTTAATCATTGAAACATGTTGATTTGCAACATAATATAGTGGATTGGTTTTGTTTTTTTGTTTTTTTGGGTTTTTTTACACTAAATTTGGTATTTCTTTTTGCTAACCATGGAGATAAACTATACCTACACACATTTAGGCAGTTACATAGCTTAACATACATTTATTC